GGAGGAGGAGGAGGAGGAGGAGGAGGAGGAGATTGGATTTATACCCTGCCCTTCACTACCCAAGGGAGTCTCAGAGCGGCTTACAAACTCCTTCCCCTCCCCACAACAGACAACCTGTGAGGTAAAAGAAGAAGAAGAGGAGATTGGATTTATACCCCACCCTTCACTACCCAAAGGTGTCTCAGAGCAGCTTACAAACTCCTTTCCCTTCCCCTCCCCACAAGACACCCTGTGAGGTAGGTGGGGCTGAGAGAGCTCTTGACAGAAACTGCTCTTTTTCAAGAACAGCTCTGACAGGACTACGGCTTGCCCAAGGTCATCCAGCAGGTGCAAGTGGAGGAGTGGGGGAATCAAACCCGGTTCTCCCAGATTAGAGTCTGTGCTCTTAACCACCACACCAAACTGACCAGGTGCAGGTGATGGACTAGGAAGATTCAGATTCCAGTCCCTGCTCAACCCTGAAACTCACTGGGTGACTACAGGCCAGTCCATTATAGGGCTGGTGTGAAGAGAAAAGGGATGAGAGGAGGGGAGACCTATTCATGCCACTCTGAACTCTTTGGAGGAAGATAATCTGAGAAACAGACTAGAACAGAGGAGAAGGAGTCTTCTCAGAGCGGTTTACAAACTCCTCTCCCTCCCCACAACAGGCACCCTGGGAGGCAGGCTGGGCTGAGAGAGCTCTGAGAGAACTGCTCTTTTTCAAGGACAGCTCTTATCAGAACTACGGCTTGCCCAGGGTCATCCAGCAGCTGCAAGTGGAGGAGTGGGGAATCGAACCCAGCTCTCCCAGATTAGAGTCCGCGCACTTAACCCCTACACCAAACTGGCTGTCAATGGCAAACCACCCCTGAACGCCTCTTGCCTCGAAAGCCATACAGTGTTCCTATAAGTCAGCTATGACTTGACGGCCCTTCACGAACGTGTGCAATTCAGTCGGGGGCGGAGGGGGGACACAGATAACGGGACGGGTACCAAAAACGGGGAGGGGGGGTTAACTCCCACTCGCCTCACCTTCGTCCCGGCCCCTGGCTGAGCCTGTGGGATGGGAGCAGACTTGGTGGAGGAATTGCAGAGGGACACACTCTTCTGGCCTTGCTGGGAGCAGCCTTCCAGGGCCATGGCTAGGGAGCCTCCCTCTGGGGGCACGTCCCTGGAGCCGGTGGACTCGCTGCTGGTGGAGCTGTGGGAGAGCAAGCCTTGGCTGCGGTCCGTGCTGACGGAGCAGTGGGTGAGCACATACTGCTCCTGGATGTAGGAGGGCTGGTAGATGCGCTTCCAGATGTCTCCACCTGAAATGAGACGGGGGGGGGGGGCACCTGTTAGGGAGAAGGCCCGGCCACAGGAAAGGCAAGAGGAGGAAAGGGAGCTCCCGAGATTTTCGGCACACCGCACGGCTTTCGCGGACCCCTACGTCCACCCGGAATGGCAGGAACTGAATCGAGGGCCTCATGTGGGGTTTCCATTCACTCGCTGGTGGTGGGAGACCTCCATGGAATTGCAGCCCTCCCCCCACTGATGCTCAGCTGATTGGGGGGCGGAAACTGGGGCTAAAGGGGGGGGAGTGCGATTGTCCTGGGGAGAAAGTTTTAAAAGAAAAATAAGGCCTTGTCTACTTGCTGGAAGTTCTGACCATAAGAGATCCAGCCGACTCCTAGAGTTACCTAGAAGTGACAAGGGTAGCTCTAGGAATCACCAGAAACTCTAGAGCTGCTCTTGTGACTTCCAGGTAGCTCTAGGAATCGCTAGGAACTCTATGGTCAGAACCTCTAGGAAGTTGACCAGACCTTATTTTTCTTTTAACTTCTCTTCTGGGACACTGCCTCCCCCCACCCCGCCACAACCCTCTCACCACTTTCCAGGCACTGTTTGACAACTCCAGCCTTTGACATGCCAAGGATTACCTAAAACTTCTTCTCACTTAATTCACTTAGTAGCAGACCTGGAGCGACGTTTGCGCATTCTTGGTCTATCGCTAATGAGCCCCAAAGCAGGGTCACCAACTAGGGTTGCCAGGTCTGGGTTGGAAAATACCTAGAGAATTTGGGGGTGGATCCGGGAGAGGGCGGGGTTTGGGGAGGGGAGGGGCCTTAGCATGGTCCAATGCCATAGAGTCCACCCTTCAAACCAGCCATTTTCTCCAGGGGAGCTGATCTCTGTCAGCGAGGGATCAGTTGTAAAAGCGGGAGATCCCCAAGCCCCACCTGGAGGCTCAAGTAACGAATAAATATACACGGCAAGAACCTTTTGTACATTAACGTCTACTGTTTATAACTATTCTTCTATAAAATGCATTGTGTACTATTATAACATCCTTGTCAGCAGGGCTTTTTTTGTAGAAAAAGCCCAGAAGGAACTCATTAGCATAACAGGCCACACCCTGAGAGCACAGCTCATTAGCATATTAGGCCACACCCCATGCCTTCCCTTGGCTTGCCGGGGCGCCCTGTGGCTGCAGGGAGACCTGGCAGGCCGGGGAAGGCACAGGGAGGCATTTAAATGCCTCCCTGATCCTTCCAGGCCCCCGGCCCGCCCTCCTCGGAGTCACCGGGGGTCACTCTCCAGGCCTTCCCTCTGTGGCCACGCACACAGAGGTTTTGGCTGTAGTGAGCGTGGCCAACTCTGAAGCCAGCCCAAACTCCGTTCCTGTGCGTTCCTGCCCAAAAATAGCCCTGCTTGTCAGGTGCATATACTCAATACATTCAGCGTAGCAATAACATTCATTCACTCAATTTAACAAGTCTTGAGAATGACAGGAGCGCTCCGTCCATGAATCTTAGCTGCACAAATGTGTCTTTTGTAGGACCGGCAATAAGCATCAACACAACTATAAATGACAGCTCCCCCCCCCCCTTTTTGGAAGACTTCGGGCTTGTAATTCTGGAAACTCCCGTTGGGGCTTGACTTTTAAAATACTGATGCTAAATTGACTGGCAGTTGTGAAACTGAATGAATGAATGTTATTGCTATACTGAATGTACTGAGTATATGTACCTGACAAAGGATGTTACAGTAGCACACTATGCACTTGATAGAATAATAGTTATAAACAGCACACGTTAATTTACAAGAGGTTCTTGCCGTGTATATTTATTCGCTACTTGGCTCTCCTAAACACTGCAGCTCGGGTTGCTACACCCGCCTGGAGGCTGGCAACCCTATCCCCAACAGGGCGCCCGAGGGCGACATGGCGCTCGCTGATACCTTTCCTGGCACCCACCCCAGTGTTTTTACAGAGTGGGCGGGGCCAGATGGGGACCCCGCCCAGCAGGGCTTCTGGAGATCTGATTGGCTGTGCAGATTAATATGGCCCTGTTTTGGCAGCGGCTGCCACCACCGTATTGGCCTTATTCTCTCTCGTTCTTATTTCTCAGCGTATTTCTTAAAATGACTCTTGTCCCTTCCGCTTTGACTATCTCTGTGTGTGTGTGTGGCTGGCTCTGCCCCGTGGTGGCCATTTCATGGTTGCATTCCCCCCCCCATCCTGTTTCGGAATTCAGAAAGGCTGGAGACCCCGGCCCCGAGGAGTCGCCCCCTGCTCTAAACCGGCCGGCCTCCCCTCATGGCACTACTTACTCTTCACGGACTCTTCTGTACCCCCAGCGGAGAACTCCAGGGATATCTCACGGGAGATTTCATGAAGGGCTTTATAAATGTCTTGGTTCTCCCCTGGTGGGTGCAAATGGGCCGCCTCTTGATCTATGGCCTCCTCCTGGGACTGGAACACCGACCCTGCGGAGCCCTTGGACAGGCTCCGGCATAGCTGCTCTCTGCCCTGGGAGAGAAAAAAGGACAAAGAACATCTTACTGCTGGCATTAGGAGCTCGTACCACGGATGGCGTATGGAGGGGGGGGGAATAGCAGTATTAGGGGACCTGCCTCACCACATCACAGACCGACTGATGCTCCTTGCAAATGGCTGCAGAAGTTCCGTCACAGTATTCACTTGCTTTGGTGTGGGGGAAAAGCGGTGGTGGGAAGCAGGAGAGCCAGTTTGGTGTAGTGGTTAAGTGTGCGGACTCTAATCTGGGAGAACCGGGTTTGATTCCCCACTCCTCCACTTGCTCCTGCTGATGTGACCTTGGGTCAGTCACAAGCGCTGGCACAGCTGTCCTTGAAAAAGAGCAGTTTCTGTCAGAGCTCTCTCAGCCCCACCCACCTCACAGGGTGCCTGTTGTGGGGAGGGGAAGGGAGAGGAGTTTGTAAGCCGCTCTGAGACTCCAAGTGAAGGGCGGGGTATAAATCCAATCTCTTCTTCTTCTTCTTCTTCCCTCTAAGCTGAGTGAGTGTGAGCTAGCTCACAGTGTTTTAGCCTCCGGCTCGCACATTTTTGTCTTAGCTCAGGAAGGGATGGGCTCCAGAGCAAACTGATTTAGGCAGCAGCCCAATCGCTCGCTCGCAACTCTAATGGCAGGAGCTCACAGAGCAGAATTTTTGCTCACAAGACTCCACAGCTTAGAGGGAGCATGGGTGGGAATGTACCATTACGCTGCAGCCAACTTATGGTGACCCGAGAGGGTTTCCAAGACCAGAGATGTTCAGAGGTGGTTGGGCCATTGCCTGCCTAGACTTCTCGTGTCGTGGTTAAGAGCGGGGGGCTCTAATCTGGGAGAACCAGGTTTGATTCCCCACTGCTCCACATGAAGCCCGCTGGGTGACCTTGGATCAGTCACAGTTCTCTCAGAGCTCTCTCAGCCCCACCTACCTCACAGGGTGTCTGTTGTGGGGAGAGGAAGGGAAAGGCGATTGTAAGCCACTCTGAGACTCCTTCGGGTAATGAAGAGCAGGGTATAAAACCAACTCCTCTTCATTTTCTTCTTCACCTTCTTCTTCTTCTTTGTCTTCTTCGACTGACAAGATTGGGCTACCCTGGGCCATGCAGGTCAGGGCGTGGGGAAAGTAGCAGCCAGCAAAGGGCAAATACTTTTATATAGAATTCAGACGTCTCCAAGCCACCGTCTTGAATTCAACTCTCTAGGCCACAAAAGGGCCTTTCCCAGCAAAGTGAGTCCAGAAACTGTAACGTATCCAGTCCAGACAAGTCCAGAGACAAACGTCGAGCTTCGCTCCAAGAGACAATGGACTATGCGGATCCTAGCCCGCCCCAATCAGGGGGCTAGGTTCCCGGCCGAGAGCCTATGGGACTCTCGGCCACTGTAAATAACCTATAGGGAAGTAGGGGTGTGTTTTGGGTGGCGGTTTCTCGGGGATATAACCGGCCTGTGATCGAATAAAGTACGCTTTGCTGAAATCACTCTCCGTCTGCGTACTTTTCAGAAACCTTTAAGGGTTAGGGACTGTAGACTATACCACTGTGCATAATTCATAATAGCCCCGACCTGGATGCCTTGGGCTAGCCCAATTTCATCAGATCTCGGAAGCTAAGAAGGGTCAGCCCTGGTTAGTATTTGGATGGGAGACCACCAGGGAAATCCAGCCTCGTTACGCAGGGGCAGGCAGCGGCAAACCCCCTCTGACCGTCTCATGCCTTGAAAACCTTACAGGGTTGCCATGAGTCAGCTGCGAATTCATGGCACTTTTCGCCACCATTAAAGAGGCAGGAGCAGGGCTATTTTGGGGCAGGAAAGGCACAGGAACGGCGTTCCGGCTGGCTTCAGAGTGGGCCACGCCCACTGCAGCCAAAACCTCTGCGTGCGCGGGCTACAGAGGGAAGGCCTGGAGAGCGACACCCCCCAGCAACTCCGAGGCGGGTGGGCTGGGGGGGGGGCCTGGAAGGATCGGGGAGGCATTTAAATGCCTCCCCGTGCCTTCCCCAAACTGTCCAAGGGAAGGCATGGGGGTGTGGCCTAATAGGCTGATGAGTTGTGCTGTCAGGGTGTGGCCTAATATGCTAATGTGTTTCTGCTGTTGGGTGTGGCCTGTTCTGCTAATGAGTTCCTGCTGGGCTTTTTCTACAAAAAAAAGCCCTGGGCAGGACATTATTTTCCTGGCCAGGTGGCAACTCTACCGATGAGGTGGTCCATCTCCTTTTGCTCCGGACTGCATGCACGGAATCATATGGTTCAGGGGAAACGGTTCCCTGCCCACACTAAACCAAGCCTGTTAAGGAGAAGGACAGGCTAGATTCCTTCCCCCCGATGGCCCGGTTTCTTATAAGAAGCGCGTCGTTTAATAAGGTCACCCCTGAACGGATGCTCGGTTATTGCCTTCTTGTCCCGGAAGCTGGCAATATGGTAAAGCGTGCAGTAGCTGATGAGCCGGTCCCCAGGATACAGGGCCGCGATCTCGTTGGGCGACAGCAGGGCTTCCATGGTGTCAGGCACATACCAGTCGATCGTGATGTCACTCACAGCTGGCTCTATGGCTTTCTTCAAAGACTTCATCAGCTGGGGGGGTGGGAAGGAACCGGAGACGTTATTGCTGGGATCTTATAAAGGATCGTAGAATCATAGAGTTGGAAGGGACCACCAGGATCCCCTAGTCCAACCCCCCTGCACATTGCAGGACATTCACAAATACCTTCCCCCCCACACACCCCCAGTGACCAATGCTCCCTCTAAGCTGTGGAGCCTTGTGAGCAAAAATTCTACTTTGTGAGCTGCTGGCATTAAAGCTGTGAGCGAGCCATTTGGCTACAGCATAAATTAGTTTGCTGTGGCGACATCCTTCCTGAGCGAAGGCAAAAATCTGTGAGCTGGAGGCTTAAAAAATTGTGAGCTAGCTCACACGAACTCAGCTTAGAGGGAACACTGCCAGTGAGCCCTGCCCCATGCCCAGAAGAGGGCAAAACAACAACAACACACCCTCCAGGATCCCTGGCCAAATTGGCCTGGAGAACAATAGCTTCCTGACCCCAATGTGGCGATCGGCATTTCCCTGGGCGTGTAAGAAAGGGGCCACGAGAACTAAGCACTGAGGCCACCCTCCCTGCCCTCCCTTCTCATGATCTGCCTCAGTTCACAGAATCCGCATTGCTGCCAGATGGCCATCTAGTCTCTGTTTGAAAACCTCCAAAGAAGGAGAGCCCGCCACCTCCCGAGGAAGCCTCTCCCACTGAGGAACCGCTCTGTCAGGAAGTTCTTCCTCATGTTGAGCCGAAAACTCTTTTGATTTAACTTCAACCTGTTGGTTCTGGTCCGACCTTCTGGGGCAACAGAAAACAACTCCCTACTATCCTCTCTATGGCAGCCCTTCAAGTGCTTGAAGATGGTTATCGTATCCCCTCTCAGTCGTCTCCTCTCCAGGCTAAACAGACCCAGCTCCTTCAGCCACTCCTCATAGGACTTGGTCTCCAGACCCCTCCCCATCTTTGTTGCCCTCCTCTGGACATGTTCCGGCTTGTCTATAATTTCTCATCATCATATTGTTATTTAGAGCTAGATTTGAGTCCCGTAGCACCAGGGGCAGATTAACCATTAAGCAGACTAGGCACGTGCTTAGGGCACCAGGGCCAAAGGGGGCACCACAAAGTTGGGGAAAGGATGAAAAACTTAGTGTGTACAGTATATTGTGTTATCATATGCAGGGCCGGCCCCAACTTATTTTGCACCCTAGACGAGGATCTCTTCTGGTGCCCCCGCCCCCCGTGCACCCACAATTTTTCAAAAATAAATGCATTTTAGGAAGAATGAAATACACAAATAATCAAGAAACTCCCAGAGTACGGGGCCGGGTGCAGTTTGGCGCCCCTAAGGGCCAGCCCGCTCTCGGCGATCGCCTAGTTCGCCTAGTGAGTGAGCCGGCCCTGATCATATTAATAAATTTTTGTATTGCTGCAACCTGCATTGTATATCTGGTCAGACAGGTCAACAACTAAAATGGACTGGGTCAGTGTGGAAAGGAGGGGGGCACCAAGATAGGTCAGTGCTCAGGGCACCCGTGAGGCTTAATCCGCCCCTGAGTAGCACCTTACAGACCAGCAAGATCTTTGGGATATAAGGTTTTGAGATTCAAACTCTTCATCAGATATTGGTAGAAATGGAAACCCCTGCGTCCTTACATCCCAGCCATTGTACCTTTGGATCCTGGCTCCCTTCTTTGCAGCACCCCTCCTGCCTTCTAACTTGAGACATAAGGACTCCAGGATCTCCATTCCTACTTGTATCTGATGAAGGGAGCTTTGACTCTTGAAAGCTCATACCCCAAGAAATCTCGCTGGTCTCTTAGGTGTTCCTGGACTCGAATCTCGTTCATCTACTGCGGACTGACACAACTATAGGGTTGCCAGCCTCCAGGTGGGGCCTGGGGATCTCCCGCTTTTACCACTGATCTCCAGCTGACAGAGATCAGCTCCCCTGGAGAAAATGGCTGCTTTGAAGGGGAGACTCTATGGCACTGTACCAGGCTGAGGCCCCTCCCCTCCCCAAACCCCGCCCTCTCCTGGCTCCACCCCCAAAGTCTCCAGGTATTTTCCAAACCAGATTTGGCAACCCTACACAACTACCCTCCTGAGACAACATTGTTGCTTAGGGAGCTTTTGAATACTATGTTCCTAAAGCAACACCTGAAATCAAACTACCAGAATCAAATGGCCAGTATTTAAAATGCAGCCACAGCAGTGTTTGTACAAGTCCAGAGATAAGAGGAAAACTGGCTCGCCCATCCTTGAAGTTCGTATTTGTGTATGCAACAAAGGGGATTCCCAAAACACCGAAAAGGACAGGGAGAGATGGCTAAAAACGTAAGTGCAACCGAAACATAAATGTCACAGGGTGCTAATGTCACGGCTAGTGGACTTCTCCACAATCTCCGTTTACTCACTGTTAAGTTCCTGTTAAGATTTAAACAGCAGGGTGAAGAACTGGAAATGAAGCTGTTTCGTTATTGAATTGAACACTAGAGGGAGCAAAATACATGGAAACAGGGAACCCTTCCCCACCAAGAAACAGGAACTTAACAGCAAGTAAAATGAGAATGAGGGAAAACTGTTTCTGCACTAGGCTTACTGTTTAAGGGCCACTGTCCCTTTAAGGGTTGATGCTTGAGCATAGAATTAGCCTTTAGGTCAGGAATTCTTGAGGAACAGGGAAGAGTAGGTGTCATGATCTGGGCTGTGCTACCAGAGGCCTACTAGGCCCAGAGAGCCTGGCTAGCAGTAGATGAGGCTGGGCCTACAACTCCCAGAAGCCCCTGGGAGGTTTCGGAGCCAAAATGGACCAATAGGAAAAGAGGAGGGCTGGGAATAAAAGTTCTGGAGCAGCAGGAAGAGCTGTTCTTTCTTCCAGAGGGCAGAGCCAGAAGAAAGGCTGCTGCAGGGGAAAAACCCTCATTCTGGGGGAAGGGTGAGTAGTGTAAGGCCACTTGAGATAGTGAGCTAGGGAAAGTATATTTAGGCGCGTTAGGGCATCTGATTTCTTTTCTTTTCACCCACTTACTGTTATTATTCTGCACCTTGTTGTTTGACCTCCTATAAAATAAACCTTTTCCTTGTTTTACTCTGCCTGGTCCTCACGCCTGTTATTCGGCCTAAAGGGAGGTCTGAAGGTCTTGGGAGGGGCTCTGGGCCTTCTCAAGGGAACCTAAATCTAGAGTGGTGGCAGCGTCAGGTGACACATGCAACAAGCCTCACCCCCTGCTTCCAGCAGCCCTCAGTCAGAACACGAAGCAGCCAGGTAGGTTGCAGAGCTCCCCCCAGCACCTGAGCCGTGACAGTAGGTGTGGAATAAGACACACTGTGGACAGCTACCCCGTCGGACTCTTCTGTAGAACTCCTCTCGTTGGGAAATGACTTTTAATTTTTTTTACTTCCTTTATTTCACTATATAATAATAATAATAATATTATGATTGTATTATTATTTATTATTATTACTTTAATATTCCTTTATTTTATTCTTTATTATGTAAAACACTTATATGTCACCTTTCCACCCAAATAAAGTCCCCACCTTCCTCCCCGATGCGGACTTCAAAGCAGCCAACCTCATTCTCCCCACCTACATTTTATCCTCCTGACAAATTTGTGACTTTTTATGTATTCCTATGTTTTTCTTCTCCTGTTTATATTGTCAGCAGCCTGGGGTTCTGTAAGGTAGAAAGGCAGCTAATACATGTTTTAAATAAATAAGCAGGGGTCATTTCCTGCAGAAGCGGAGCTCTGGCAGTAAAGAGCCTGGGGGCGGGCACATGCAACAAGCCTCACCCCCTGCTTCCAGCAGCCCTCAGTCAGAACACGAAGCAGCCAGGTAGGTTGCAGAGCTCCCCCCAGCCCCCCCAGTCCAAAACAGTCCAGTGGCACCTTTAAGACCAAGTTTTATTCAGGCACAAGCTCTCCCTCCTCTGCAAGCACAGATCTGCACGTCCCCCCCCCCCCAATAGCTAGCAATCCAAAACAGTCCAGTGGAGCCTGAGCGGTGGGTGTTGCCTTCTGACACGCTTCCAGTGATGCCAGGGGGAGTGGCATATGCAAATAAGTTATGCTAATGAACTGCACCTCTTTTTCTATGAAATGACCCCTGAAAATAAGTAAACAATCCTGTGAGGTAGGTTAGACTAAGAGTGTGTAGTTTGTGGCTACATTGTTCACCCCGCACTTCCATGGCAGAGTGGGAATTTGAACCTGGGTCTCCCAGATCTTAGACCAACACTGTGTCCATTATACCACACTGGCTCTCAACAATGCAAAGGCTCATCTTCAGAAGCAATAAATTAGGGATGGGCACGAACTGGGAACATGCGGTTTGAACAGAACTGAGGTTCGTTCACGAACAAAACTGGTTTGTGGCCCTGCAAACCCGACTGAAAGGGAATGAAAAACAGCTGAGCAGCAGGGAGCAGCCTGCTTTAAAAGTTCGTGGAAGTTCATGACCGTAGACCCGTCACGAAGTTCGGTTCGCGAACCACAAACAGGGTAAAAGCTGTGGCGAATTTTGCTTCGTGGTTCGTTTTTGCCCATCCCTAGCAATAATCAAGAGTGTGTCTCTGAGCATATACAGAGTAACTACAGGATGATGTAGTGGTGGGCTCTGCTCCTCGAATTGGAAAGTAAATACTTGTGAGGAGGATGGTTTGGCATACAGTTGGGAACCTTTGCTCCAGGCAAACGAATGTTCCTGTAATACTCCTGACATATTTTATGCATTCAGCCTCCATCTCATAAAGTGGAGCTCCGCATCCAGACAGCTACCTGCTTGAACTGCTGAGATGGCAGATATTGGTGTGCTTCTGACATTTCATGGCCCATTCCTCAAGGGTCATCCTTATACCGTAGCTATGAAAAGCTCGATTTTCCCTCAAAACCATTAGCCACAATTGTATCCATCCTGAACAAACCATTGAAGCTCAGAGGGAATAGCTCCAGAAACAGTGAAGAAGAAGGATTTTATGTCCTGCTTTTCTCTACCTGAAGGAGTCTCAAAGCGGCTCTTCCCCTCCCCCCAACAGAAACCTTGTGAGGTAGGTGGGGCTGAGAGAGCTCTGAGAGAACTGTGACAGGCCCAATGTCACCCAGCAGGCTCCATGTGGAGGAGGGGTGGGGAAACAAACCTGATACTCCAGATTAGAGTCTGCCTCTCTTAACCACTACACCATGCTGGTTCCTTATTTAGAACAAATAAAAAAAAGTACCTTCTTCATTCACAGAGTAATTAACACGTGAAATTCACTGCTGCAGAAATTGGTGGTGGCTAAAAGTATAGACCGCTTCAAGAGGGGAAAGGAAGAGGTCCATGAGTGGCTATTAGCCACAAGGTATAGAGCCAGTTTGGTGTAGTGGTTAAGAATGTGGACTCTAATCTGGGAGATTAGAGTTTGATTCCCCACTCCTCCACATGCAGCTGCTGGCGTCATAAGTTTTTTCAGAGCTGTTCTCTCAAGGGCAGTTCTCAAGAGAGCTCTCTCAGCCCCACATACCTCACAGGTTGTCTGTTGTGGGGAGGGGAAGGGAAAGGGATTGTAAGCCGCTCTGAGACTCCTTCAGGTAGTGAAGGGCGGGGTATAAATCCAATCTCCTCTTCTTCTCTTAGATGGAAAACTATGCCTGGGGCAGTGATGCTCTGTATTCTTGGTGCTTGGGGGGCCCACAGTGGGAGGGCTTCTACAGTTCTAGCCCCACTGGTGGACGTCCTGATGGCACCTGGGTTTTGGCCACTGTGAGACAGGGCACAGCCATCAAACATCCTGTGACAAACTGACAAACTGGTTCACACTCCCATGGACATCACTTCAGTAGCCAAGATATCAACCGGCCTCTAATTTTAGTGGTTCTGAACCCAATCTCAGAAGTATTGGCAATGAAGATCAGCACATACCTTAGGCTGTAGCCTTTCACCCGGGCTCAGGAATTCAGCTTGACCTCTGCTCACCTTAGCCATTCCCCGTAGGAGCCTACGGCAGGCACCGGTCCCCAGACCAAAGGTGAAACACCTGTGGGAAAGGGATGCCGTAGCTTGAAACTGAGTCCTGTTTCAGGGTGGACTTCCCATTCTGTTCCAAAGTTCTGTTGGGGGAACTGCACTTGTGCAGCACTCTGAGTGAACAAGTTTTTTAGTCTTATTGATCTATTTTATTTATGTACGTTATCTGTAGCCTGCCTTTCTCGCAGGGGCTCAAGGTTGATTAGACAGCGTAAGCCAATACAGTCAACAGGATGGGGCATTCAGTAATGCAATAGGATTTGAACAATGTTTGTGCCTAGAGATGTAAAATTTCCAGAAATTTTGAAGCTCGGAAAAACCCCCGGGTTTTTTCTGTTTTTTTTCCGGGGGGAAACGGAAATTTTCGGAAAAATTGAAAAAAATGCTACGTTAGCATTTCTTTTGTCTTTTCTAGATTGAAAGTCATTCTGTTACTTTAGGAACATAAAATATGACTATGGACATTTTTATTTGGCATGAAATTATCACAACTAGCATATTAAAAATATAGTGTATCCAAACAATTATTACAAACAGAATACCCATCCACATGCAAAAACAAAACTGAAACCTTTTAATTTTCTTCTGACAATAGCACCTCCTAAAGGAAGAAATGCATCTTGTTCTTGCATTGGAGAGTTCAGTTTGTAACCTAGGACTTGCTTGTCCTCAGTGCACAGAAATTAGATCAATCTGATACCATATATATACATTTTAGAAATGATTTGGAAAATATTTGAACACTTTGTCTTAAAATATTTTATTCATCATGTTAAAATAAAACGTTCCATAATCATTTTTTTTCTTTTCTTTTCTTTTTTCAATTTTTCCAATTTTTCGGAAAAAAACAAAAAATCTTCAGGAAAAAAAAGAAAAAAACCGTTTCCCCCCCGAATTTTTCCGGTTTTTTTCCAGGCCTTCACATCTCTATTTGTGCCCAGGGGCACCTTTAAGACCAACAAAGTTTAATTTGGGTAGATGCACACAAATTTCGTGCATGCACATGAAAGTTTATACCCAGGGCGTTTTTTGTAGAAAACGCCCAGCAGGAACTCATTGGCATAATAGGCCACACTCAACAGCAGGGACTCATTAGCATATTAGGCCACACCCCTGACAATGCAGCTCATTAGCATATTAGGCCACACCCCCATGTCTTCCCTTGGCTTGCCTGGGCGCCCCACGGCTGCGGGAAGCTTGGGAAATCCCGATTTTGGATAGAACAGGGAAAGCACGGGGAGGCATTTAAATGCCTCCTCGATCCTTCCAGGCCCACCCCCTTGCCCTGCCCGCGTTGGTGTCGCCAGGGGTGTGTGTCGCTCTCCAGGCCTTCCCTCTGTAGCCACGCACGCAGAGGTTTTGGCTGTAGTGGGCGTGGCCAACTCTGAAGCCAGCCGGAACTCCGTTCCTGTGCGTTCCTGATCAAAAATAGCCCTGCTTATACCCGGAATTAAACTTTGTTGGTTTTAAAGGTGCCACTGGACCCACACTTGGTTCTGTTGCTTCAGACCAATGCGGCTACTTACCTGAAGCAATAGAACTAGGAATGTAAACATCTGGAAACAACCGGAAGTCTAAAAACAGAACTGAAGCAAAGCTTAAGTACTAACAAGACACATTAAATGATGCAAAATCACACAGCGGGGTTCTACTCACAGCAAGCTATACTGGCTTGCTGTACGGCCCCTTCCAGCTCTGGGATTCTATGATTCTATGTTGTTCCGTACCTGACGGTGCTCGCCTGCCTCCTGACCAGCTCGATGACTTTGCCGGTGTTGCTCACGCTGGCGTCTGTGAAGACAAAGAGCTGTCGTGGATACCCGCGGTGAAGAGGCTGACCCAAGATCCAAGAGAGAGCCCCAAGGAAATTGGTTCCACCCATGTCTGCCCGTAGCTTCTGAATGTGTTCGCAGGCCAGCCGGAGGGTCTCCTAAGGACGCGAGAAGTTCATGGATTACAAGGAGCAATGCCAGGCAAACAGACTGTCACTACAAAGGTTTCCAGCTCTGGATTCTGAAATACCTGACCTCTCCCTGCCTCGTAGGGTTGCCAGCTCTGGACTGGAAAATTCCTGGAGATTTGGGGATGGACCCTGGGGAGGAGAGGGTTAGGAAATGACCTCATCAGGGTATCATGCCATGTAGGCCACCCTCCAAAGTAGCCATTCTCTCCTGGGGAACTGATCTCTCTAGTCTGGAAATATATTGTAATTCTGGGAGCTACCTGGTGTAGTGGTTTGGTGTAGCCAGTTTGGTGTCGCGGTTAAGTGTGCGGACTCTAATCTGGGAGAACCGGGTTTGATTCCCCACTCCTCCACTTGCACCTGGCTGGATGACCATGGGCAAGCCGTAGTTCTGATAAGAGCTGTTCTTGAAAAGGAGCAGTTTCTGTCAGAGCTCTCTCAGCCCCGCCTACCTCACAGGGCGTCTGTTGTGGGGAGGGGAAGGGAAACGAGTTTGTAAGCCACTCTGAGACACCTTCGGGTAGTGAAGGGCGGGGTATAAATCCAATCTCTTCTTCTTCCTCTTCTTGATAGAATTTGAGGGTTGGTGGCTGCCTGATAGAACCTGAGGGATATGTTGTCCTAGATAGGTTATTATGTCTGCCGCAAGGGTTCCAATGGGACCCTAGAAAATATGCTGCTATCTTGGGGAGCTGAATATTGGATGGGGCGGGATATAAATCTCAATAATAAATAAATAAATAAATAAATAAATAAATCTTAAGAGTTTTTGTGCTCACAAAGAGAAATTATTGCGCCTTATGTCCTTTATGGAGCTGCGGTGGCTCAAGTGGTTAAGATGCTGAACTGCAGGCTGTGGAAGGTCGGTAGTTCAGGGAGTTCGAGACCCGAGTGTGCTCCCGTCTCTAGTTTCAGCTCCTGCCAAACTAGCAGATCGAAAGCAAGAAATTGCAGGTAGGTACCACTTTGGTGGGAAGGTAACAGCGTTCCGTGCGCCTTGGTGTTTAGTCATGCCGGCCACATGATCACGGAAATGTCTTTGGACAGCGCTGGTTCTTTGGCTTTGAAACGGAGATGAGCACCGCAACCCTAGAGTCTAATTCGACTGGCTTTCGAGCAAGGGAAACCTTTACCTTTTCCTTTTATGTCCTTTATATACATCACAGTCCTTGAAAAAGACTGTATTCGAAATGGGTAAATTACTAGAGTCCCCCTGGGACTAGTGATTGTGAAACTGACAAGGTGCAGTCTGAATATTTGTGCAGAATGTAAACCTTCACTTTGATGTTTTGTTTGGGTGAAACCTATTTTTGATAATATTTGATACTAATATTTATATAACAGTATAGAAAAATAAAAAAATAAAAATAAAAAGTACAAAATTGATCTACCTTGAACATACACCTATTATAGGTAAAGGTAAAGGTTCCCTGGCTCGAAAGCCAGTCGAATCCAACTCTAGGGTTGCGGTGCTCATTTCCATTTCAAAGCCGAAGAGCCAGCGCTGTCCGAAGACGTTTCCGTGGTCATGTGGCTGGCATGACTAAACACCAAGGCGCACAGTACGCTGTTCCCTTCCCACCGAAGTGGTACCTATTTATCTACTTGCAATTTCTTGCTTTCGAACTGTTAGGTTGGCAGGAGCACACCTATTATACACAATGCTATATACTTTTGCATACCCACCTGTAGGTTGGCAACCCCACCACATTCTCAGAATTTTTTACTAGAGCAGCCAGCAATTGAGCCTGGGACCTCTTAGAGGTGAAGTAGAGTTACAGCTGCCTCCAGATGTTTTTCCCCATTTTGCTTGATGAAACTGTATGACACGCAATTCAGTCCGATCGGCAAAACAAGAAGGCCCTTTGGGGAAGGGGTCATATTTCTTGCTTTCATACAGAAGTCCCCAAGCTCAATCCCTACGCAATCCATGCAAATGTCTTTAATTTGCATAATGTTTAGAAGCCACACAATCCAGCTTGTCCGGGCACACGATTTGAACCATGAGGACTGATGACGTAATATTCTCCTCCAAGGACGAAACCTGCAGTCTAGCCCAGCTGCACCAGACTAACCCCCAACAGCCGTGCATACTTATTAACTGGCTAACTCCAGTTAATATTATTACTATTCTATTATTACCAAGGTTTTTACCCCGACTTTCTGCCGTCAGAGGGCCGCCAAGGCAGCTAACAAATTAAGACATACAAATTCAAATCATATCTTAAAAACCATTAAAGCCGGACTACAAATTAGATAATTAAAAGCAAATTAATTCACTGCCTTGTTGGAGGGAATGCGGGGCGCAGGGCTCGTTTACTCATTGTTCATGGGATTGTAAAAATGTAGTGGAATTTTGGCTAAAGATATTTCAATACATCAAGGAAATCACTGGTTACGATACTGACAAGACGCCCGATCTGGTATTGTTGGATTTATGGCATGATAACCACATACCTCGGATCCAACAGGAAATCTTTCTTTTGCTAGCAGTGGCCAAATCAATAATCGCCACCCACTGGAAAGATTAAACTCCAATATATTTTGCAATGGACAAAATAGCAGACTCTATAGACCAGGGGTGTCAAACATGCTGCCCGGGGGCCAGATCAGGCCCCCAGAGGGTTTCCATCAGGCCCGCAGTGGAACTGGCCCATCTCCTGCTTCCAGTTCTGCTGCTGCTGCTGCTGCATCATAGCTTGCTTCACCAGACTCTCTCAATCACTCAGCCATTTCATGTTTTCCCCTGGGTCCTAAACTCAAAACTCTGAGCATGAAGTTTCTGTGGTGAATGTCAATAAATCAAAAGCAGGGTTGCAGCTTACAGAGCTAATGTTTTAAGCATGTTTTTATTTTAAGTTAAAAAAAACACTTTGTGTTTGTGTCCTTTATAAAGTTTATATCTCCGCTACCTGGCATTACATTTTGTGACACGCATGGCCTGGCCCAACATGGTCTCATTTATGTCAGATCCGGCCCTCATAACAAATAAGTTCGATCCCATTTTTGGATTATGTTTATAGGAACTTTGCATCACAATCGAAACTTATACCACAGAAATACCGTGAATTAATCACTAGTATATAGCACACAGTATCATTGTTCAGGCTATCTCTATCTAGTGTGATACAGGGCTCTTTTTGTAGCAGGAACTCCTTTGCATATCAGGCGACACACCCCTAAAGGGAAAACCTGTAAGCTCTTGGAGGATTGGCTACATTACGGGTGTGTTGCCTGATATGCAAAGGAGTTCCTGCCACAAAATGACCCCGATACGTTATTATATTTTGGTGCCTTACATTATGTATATGGACTGTTTCCCCACGGTATGTTGTTTCACTGTTGTTATTGTACTGACAACCTGTTTGACTTTGTTTTCTATTTAAACCAAAATTAATAAAAATAATTTAAAACAATTTAAAACCAGAGTTTAGAACAAGTGCAAAAGATAAAAACGATAGTTAGACGGTTAAGAACGTTAGAAGAACCCTGCTGGATCAGACCCACGGTCTGTCTAGTCCAGCAATACAGAGCTTACTCACGCTGTTGCAGGGCTTGCTGGTTCTGAAGAGAGGCTTGATGTTGGAGCCAAAGCCGGCAATATTCAACAAGGTGTTGGAAGGAAGGCTCTTGACGGCCACCAGCAAAGCATCCTGCACCGGAGGGAGGGGGGGGGAGTCAATACTAGAGACCACAAAGTATGGACTGTTTATGGCTGTGAATCCGACGGGAGTTTTGTAAAAAAGATAAGTTGGAATTGTGACAGCGAGAAGTGCCTGAAAGCGCTTATATAAGTCAACAATTGCGAGGAGGACCCATAGAGAGTCTGGGAGCGAATATAAAAGCGAAAATGAAATTATACCATTCTCGAAAATGGGGACCTCTGGGGCATGAAAGGAAGAGGATTTATAGTACATGAACTGAGCGTATTAATAACAACCCGAAGGAGGACCTAACAAGCCGGAAGGAGAAGTCAACAGAGGAAGCTCCTCCACGTCAGCGATGTAAAAGTACCCAGCACGCAAAGAAGCGGTTCTGAATGTGCACAGAAGAGATCCTTTTTATTAACAGAAGCTCAAAGGAACATTACTAACATATTAACAGAGAATACATGTAACAGGACTAAGAAAAGAAGTTTTGGCAACACACAGAAGAAGCCCAAGAAGATTAATTGGACATTATTAACAGTTTAATTTACCGATTTAAATATCACTCAGCTTTCTCTTTCTCCCACTGTCTACCCCTTCCTTTTTTTCTTTTAAGCGAAATACCTCCCCTTTTTAGGGGAG